GTTGAAGTTTCTGCATTTTAACATATGTATAAAGTAATGTTACCTGTTATATAAATAAACTCATGTAAACAAAAAATGTACGTTTTCAGGGTTGCCAAATCTCAAGCAACTGGCGTGACACGCTTTCAGACTCATGCTGGAAATCTTACGGCAAATCTATATTATTCCATTATAAAACCTAAAATTAGCTACGTCAAATGTGTATTTACACGGTTAAATACAAAAGCAGACTATTTACAAAGGTAAGAACTGTTATATGTGTGCAGACATCTCGAATTGACCATCTCACTTCAGTCAGCTGGCCGAAGTTCTATGTCACGTGACAATAAATAATGTCAAAGCGTTTTTGAATTGTACTGAATTAATTTGATTTTACAGTCAGGTACTGATTACGTACAACGTTGATGCAACTAATAGGCTACTTAAATATATATCACACTATTAAATAGTTAGACATTATGATCTTCTGGACCTTTGCTTCAAGATTTTTTCTCTAACTGGACCTCTTTAAATTTTAGTTGAATACCCCTGTTCTAACACATTATCTTGGTCATTGTTGTGTCACTTGAAAATATTGAATTGAATGATATGTTGTTTTTTTTTGGGGGGGGGGGGACATCATCAGGAGATCTCCTTCTAAGGCAGGGAGGGAGGAGCACTCGATGGGGCTGCACCTCCATCTGATGGGGGCGCTGCTCCTGCTGCACAGCTGCTTCCTGCTGAGTGCATGGCAAGCAGAGCGTGACAAGGAGGACACCAGAGCCTGCTTGGCCCTGGGCCTGCTGCTCCACTGGGCCCTTCTCGCCACGTTTACCTGGATGGGCCTCGAGAGCTTCCACCTTTACCTGCTGCTGGTCCGTGTGTTCAACATCTACATCAGGAAATACCTGCTGAAGCTCTCCTTTGTGGGCTGGGGTGTGTGTGTACTTATCAGTTAACGTTACAGTCGCAGGCTGTTGCATCGTTACGTTTAGTAGCTTGTTGCCATTTTTCATGTGCACACCCAGGTATTATAACATGTGTCACTTTGGGGGCCCTGCTCCCCCCTTCCTCCCCTCAGTTGTTTCAAAGACTAAATAAATAGCTACAGTCGGAAGATATTAGCCGTTTAGCAGAACATGCTGCTTTTGCATCTTCTAAATAACAAAGGCATTTATTTAATATTTACTGCAGTACCTGTTCGTGGCTAAGCTTGGGGGGCCCATGCAAATGCATGGCATGAGTGGCTCTTTAACATAATTTCCTTTGTTTGATGAAGAGGAAGCCACTACTTGGTTAGAATAGTTTTGGTCCCTAAATAGGTAGTTGTGCAAAATATAGAACTCAAAACTAAGTAACCTTTCTGTCTCATGTCTTGTTAGAGCGCTTGGAGTGACATGCTAAGCATTCTGCACCAGTGTTTCCCAATCCAGTCCTCAGCGACGCAGTCGGTCCATGTTTTTGCTTCCTCTGAACTCCCTGCCAGAGTCCACATTTTTGCTCTCTATGGGAGCTGGGAGGGAGCAAGAATGTGGACTGTCTAGGGTTCTCCAAGGACTGGACTGGGAAACACTGTTCTAAACCCTAACAGCACAAAAACCAAACATCAACCTCTTCGTACTCTTTGTGTTTATTCCTTGTATGTGTTTGCGTTCTCCAGGTGTGCCCACCATTACAGTGGCTATCTGTGCCCTTATCCAACCTTACGGCCTTCACAGGTTCCAGTCAGAGGATAACACCCACACCAGGACATACACAAAGATGTGAGTGGCTTTTGTTTCTTAAGCCTTAAGTCTAAATTAACATTTACCTTTTCCCAGTCAGCCACATGTTGATTCATCCTGAATAAATCCAAAGAGCGAATTGGGTAAGAAAAAGAATCTGGAACCAAACCTTTTATCTTCTAAGCACCGTTCCTTAGCCACAATGTCACACAGCTTAACACCATAGAAATTGACCTATGACCCTTTGAATAAGAAGCACCCCCTGGACAGTCATTGAAGAGTGAGCGATACTTCTCGCGCTCATGAAATTGAAAACTTTACATACAGCAGAGGAAGTGTTCGTTGGCAAAGCTATGCAAACAACATTTGCAGGATGCAAACATTTATGTACAAAAGTACAATTAGGAAAACAGGGTCAATGAGCAACTCAAGGGTAAAAGACCCAATGGTGAAATGAGCCAACCGTGGGATTTGAACTAGCAACCTTCTGATCAGCAGGTTAGGATCCTGTACCGCTAAGTCACACACTGTTCCAAAAGTAACATGATGCTACTGGTAGTAGAGTCAAAACCCATTAGTCTAATTGCATGTGCAATTACATCTTAGTAAAAGAGAAACAAATGTATCATAGCTAGATCCCCAATACACCAAAGTGCACTTGTCGCAGTCTGATGATCAAATGGGGGCTTGAAGTAATTGCTCAAGGGTTGCTTGTTGCTGGTAAGCTGCTTAAGTGATGATTTGTTCTGGTTTTCAATAGCCTAGGAGCCTTCAGAAGAGAACCTTTGGAACTGACCAAACCACAGTTAAGATGTGGAAGTGAATCGTTTTCAAAAATTGTTACAGAAGTATTGTGTAACAGTGTGGTTGCTGCATAAGCAGCCTTTGCAGTCACGACCATTGCTTCCATGCTTCTTCACGGGCTCTTCACCTTCCCGTTTCCTGTCCAGATGCTGGATCACAGACACAACAGTGAGGCTTGTCACCGTCACCGCCTACCTGAGCCTGGTCTTCCTCGTCGGCGCTGCCATGTTGGGCATCGTCGTGATAAAACTACGCCGCAAAGAGCACAGAGGCACCGCGGCTCAGAAGCGGCACATCGGCAGGAACTGCCTGACACTGCTGTGTCTCAGCTGCATCCTGGGAGTTCCCTGGGGCCTGGCCTTCACCACCTATGGCCCCCTGACCCTGGTTGGCCTCTACTTCTTCACCATAGCAAATGCCTTTCAGGGTGAGAGTCTTCTATTACTTATCAGTAGAATCCATTGCATAATAAAATCTAGGAGTCCCCAGGGCCGAGCTGAGAAACACCACGCTAGATTGAAGCCCAGCTACCTGTGTTGAACCTGTAATCCTTTTACTGCTATTTCCAGGCCGAGGATCTTGGCCAAAGATGTAGTCAGTTTCAAATGATCCCTGAACCCAAAATCTTGGTTACTGAAAGATTATTGCCTTAAACCCATATGCTACACGTGTCCCCAGAGTTTCTTGTGGGGGAATAGTCTATGCCTTGTCATTCATGCAAAACAGGACAAGAGTTTAATTTGCATTTTTTTTTTTTTAACTTTTTGCAGGAGTCTATCTCTTCTTGTGGTTTCTCTCTCTCACCTATAAATCACACGCCAGCTCCACAGGAACAAACCAGTCCACACGCAAGACTGATATCAGCTTAGGTCAACTGTAAATTAAGCTGCGCTGACCCCAGGTTTACATTAAGGGGGAAAATGTAGTTAAACCCTTCACAGCTTCATGCATTATCATTGTAAAAATGGTTTATTTGAGGGGGTACTATATTTAAAGATTTGATAAGCGAGACAGTCGTCTGTTGCCTGCACGAGCAACAGCCATGAGGATGAGAATAAAAATACCCAGAACCCAGATTCCACCAATGGAAAGTCCCAGGATCAGCAACACATCTACAAAAGAAAGCAATTGGTCAGACACCCCGGCCTTCCAGCCAATCCTGAGCATAATGGCACAAAAAAAGGACAGTCAAACGATCCTGCTCTGCTTTGCATGAAGATTTGAATAAACCTAGTTAAGCAGAAACTATTCTTTTAAAATACTTTGAATAAAATAATTTTGCAATGAAACCTTTGTGCAGAGACTCTGTTCAGGGTCTACAGACAAATTGTTTGCTTGTCCTAGGTTCAGCTGATCTGCTTGTCAAGTACAACACTTACAAGACCTGTAGGAATCAGAACTGATGACAGAATGAAGACATACTTTGCCATGAGCCTTACTTGAGTGCCTATCTGGTGCTTTGAACCTGATTGGTCCATACGACAGTAATCCCTGTTTGGGATCCCCTGTAGATACTTCCCGCTTAGTTATCAGTTTACAGTCCTGCAGAGAGGGCAACATGAATGATGGTTGGTGGCAGAGGCGGGCACGATGGCATGTCACTGAGCACAACAGCACTGTCATCACTCACCGGTAGGCAGGACTCATCTCCCAAAGAGCACAGCTGGATAGTGCAGTGAAGGTAGAACTCATGTGGCAGTGTCGTAAAGCGAAACACGTCGAAACTGTAGCGAACCACAGAGCCGTTGCCGTTGACACCGTCGTGCTCCGCAGTCCATCCATGGAACTTCACAGTTTCATCTTTCACACACCTGAAGGGTAGACAGAGGAGCATCATGGGAGCTCCTAAAGGGGAGGTGGCAACAGCCACACACAAAATGTGGCTGCAATTCACCACACCATCAGCCAGAACTCCAGGGCATTGAGTTCAACTTCTAGAAAAGGACTAGGAACAAGAGGCGGCCATTCGGCCCATAAACTCAGAACTCAACTAATAGCTCAGAGTTGTTAAAATCTTATCTAGCTCTGATTTAAAGGAACCCATGGTTTTAGCTTGCAATACACTAACAGGAAGACCATTCCTTACTCTAACCACACGCTGTGTAAAGAAGTGCTTTCTCAGATACAGTTTAAAATGTTCTCCTGCCAATTTCCACCTATGGCCACAAGTTACTGTATTTGAACTAATATTGAAGTAACTATTTGGTTGAACAGCATCCAGATGTCAGCAAATATCCCTCATCTCTTAAATACTATAGGTAAGGTGCCATCAGGGCCCTGAGATTTATTTATTTTGAGCTTAGCTAGGCTTAGTACCACATCAACCTCAGTGATACATATATTGGTCATAGACCATGCTAGATTAGGAATAAGCATTGGCATGTTATTCATGGTCTCTACAGTGAATACCCGTACAAAACAATCATTAAACATTATATCAATTTAGTTTTCGATTATAAGACCTATTTCCTGAAGATTAGCGATTTCAGCTTTTAGAGCTCTTACTCAACTTTTAATGTTATCCTTCGCTTCCAATGCAATCTTCCTTTCAACATTCCTCTAAATCTCTAATATTTAACAACCTGTACACTTTGATACTCCTGCTTTGTTCCGACATTAGTTATTTTCCATTTGTGAACAGAGCCCTTTTCCTCCTGACTTTATTCTTAATTTCAGTCATAAACCATCATGGTTGCAGTTTCCTAGATTTAGTTTTGCTGGAAACAGGTATGAAGTCCTCTTGCACTTGCAATAATGTGCTTATAAAAATGCCTCTTCAACCATTTTGTTATTTAATTCCATCCAGTTTAGTTTCTAGTTTCAGTCTCACACCATTAGCCTTCCTAACATTATATATTTTTGTTTTGGACTTTGGTCTACAGACACTAAAAATTAACCTCAAATTTAACCATGTTATGATCACTACTGTCATGTGGTTGTAAAACCTCTAATTTTCCAATCCTATCCTGGTTATTAGAGAAAACAAGATCTAGAATGGCTTCTTCCCAGGTAGGGATTCTAAACTGAGTAAAAAAAAAAAAAAATCAACCCTGCACCAATTCCACTATCTCAAGTTCATTTACATTATTGTCACTGATTGATGTATAACATTCTGTTTCCCTGTGTACCTACATTAGGTGCTCTTTAACACCAACAATTAGCGCATTTGAATTTTTAGCATCTAGTCTTACCCATACAGCTTCTGTACTTTTATTTTTATCAGTGAGCTCCGGCCCTTGTCTGCAAGCTGTCTTTTACGTATACTGCAACACCACTTCCCTTCTTGCCTATCCGGTCTCTACGGAACAACATGTAACCATCCATATTATATTCTTCTCCATCATTGTCACTCAGCCATGTTTCTGTTATTCCTATAATGTTGTAAGAGTCTGATGAAATAAAAGCCTCTAACTCATGAATTTTGTTTCTAATACTTCTAGTGTTTAAGTACAGATAGAGAAGGGTAGGCCTTTTACACTGCCCACTTTCACTACTTGGGGCTTTCTGTCCCCCCACCTATAGTCTTTACTAACCTCCCTGCCCCCCTCCCAGTCCCTAGTTTAAACACAACTACTCTACACATACGCCTCCCCAATACACTGGTTCCCCTCCAGTTCAGATGTGACCCATCCAGCTTGAACAGGTCCCACCTGTTCCAGAAGGTCTTCCAGTGCCCCATAAACCTAAACCCCTCTTTCCTACACCACCCTTTAAGCCACGCGCTTAATCTCCTTATCTCAGCTAACTTAGCCTGGCTAGCACGTGGCACGGAAAGTACCCCATGCACATTCTGCTTCTAAGTTTATCTATGACTTCTATTAATTTTTCCTACAGAACAGCCCTCCTACCCTTGGCCTATGTCGTTGGTGCCAACATGCACCACGGCCACTCGATCCACCCCAGCTGGGGCCAAAAGCCTGTGCATACAATCCACAGTATTTGTACAAGGTATATGAAGTGCAAATTAGCAAAAAAAATTGTACGAGAACACCAATTGTGCAAACTAATTTAAAAATTGAGATAGCAGACAAGCAGGAGGTAGCTAGCTCGAGACTTACCCATTAAGCAGCAGAGTGTGAGAAAGACCATCAGTATCGTTGGGCATCGCTGACTGCGTAGACCAGCACTCATTCACTCGCAAATGGAAATAGTCTTCAGGTTCAACCACGCGGGCCTCAACGTAGGCCTTCTCCTTGAGTTGCAGCTGGGGGGACGTGTCAAAGGCCTCCATGTAGGTCCCATCCTTGAAAAGGCTCATCACGATGGTGGCCTCCATCTCATTCACCCGCATCACGGTCTCACTGGGCAGCACACGGGTGGAAAAGGATTCGACATGTGACTCATTATATATTATATTATAGTCCTCGAGGTCCAAGCACTGCTGGTTTTCCAGCCTTCATTTACCTGTCAGTCAGGTGTGAAGCTTCTGACCAATCAGAATCGGTAATTATGAAACTATCTGGGAAAACTGAAAACAAGGCCTGGATTTGGAATCGAGGTCCAGATTTGAAGAACCCTGCAATAGGGTAACGAGATCTGCTAACCAGCTACCTAGCTATGAACATGCTGCTCCATCCATCAATCGTTGCATTTTCTATACCCACCAATCAATCACTGGGCACACACACCATTCATACCTACAAATAATGCATCAACTCCAGCTCACCTAAGCAAGTTTTTTGGACTGTGAAAGGCAACCAGAGCACCTGGAGGAAACCCCATAACGGTACAGGGAGAACATGCAAGCTCCACACAAACGGCGTCAAGGCTGCCTCAGTATCTCCTAAATGAAGAATGCATTTAATATTTAGTGTGGTAACCATTTGTGGCCAACAGGGGGATCCCAAACTTCAAGGGCCCCATGCAAATTCATGATTTGATTGGTGGTGAAAATACTGCTGCTGAGGATGGAACAACGAATGTCCAGCCGGCCAAGCAGAACAGTCTACATACGCAAGTAGCACGTGTAACACTACAAAACTCATTTGCAGCTAAAAATCAGTGGGGGCGGGGGGGGGTCGGGGGGGGTTGGGCGGCGGCATGAAGCACACAACTTACCTGGAAATGGGAACAATGGGAAAAGGGAGACTAACAGTGCGGATGTAGGGGTACACACACTTGTACTCTATTTTAATAAGGGGATCACGGATTATGTTGCCTTTCACCACTGGATCAGACTGCAGCGTTTGGGAGTATGCGATATGGGTGAAATTCTTCTGGGGGGGAAAGCAGACAAAGATTAAGGGATATCAAATGAAGAATGCCTAAACAGTTAATCAAGTGTCAAATTGGCAGATGAAGCCAATACACTTTTTTTTTAAATACAATACATGATCCACGAGATGCACTCTTTACATTGGTGTCAGTCTGATGGGTTATAATAAATATAATTAGCAGCTCATTAAAATTAACAATATTACTATTTTAACACGCCAGACATTCATATCACCATGACAGGCAGTTAAATTGTTGCAGACTCAGTTGCGGTTCTCTGCACCCCAACAGAAGATGCTGCTCGTATAAAGATCTAACCACTGTTGACTTCTAAAATACAAACGAAGCGTTGGTGACTCGCATCTGGCATGACGTGCTTTCTGACTCTCACAGGAAATCTCAGCAAATCTATATTGTTCCATTATAAACCTAAAACTATCTACATCAAAAGTGTTTGGATAGTTTGCAAACCCTACAGACTATTTACAAGGTAATAAAACGGTTACATACATGTAAATGAATGTGCAGACTTGCGTTTAATTGAAAGCCTCAAGCCATGCAGTCAGCTGCCCAAAGTTGGCAACCCGGCCGGAAACAACTTAAAATTTTGAGATTCAAATATATACTGTAGTTATGTCACGGCTGACCAATCCTATAGGCAGCAGTCTAGGGCACCACTGTAAGTTTAACTTTGCTTTGGACAGGGGGCTACTGCGGTGACTCTGCCTAGGGCGCCACAACAGAAAGGAGCGGTACTGATTCGGGTAATTGCAAAAAAATAGTAACTTTCTAAAACTTTGTAAAACGCTTCTAAACATCGGATCCATCATCGCGGCACCCTCACCTCCAGCGCTTTCCCACCGCAGTAAAGGTATCGGTCTTTTGTGGTTCTCGCCATATAATAGGAAACGCCAGCGACAGTCTCTTGTTGGGCACGGCAGGACTTATTTCCAAGGTGGAGGTCCTCCAATTTAATATTGTAATACTTGAAAAAGTCCTCAACCACCATGATTGTGATGTAGTCTTTCCCGCACATGACGTTAATTGTTGCAACTTGAAGGGGGGAAACTAGACGTTACAATACTGCATGATATTTCTCATTTATTCTGAAGAGTGATTTTCAATGCAAAGCTTACTGTCTCGAAGTAGGCTACTATACCTTCGTCACAGAGGTCCCCATAATATCCGACCGCGCACTTGCATCTGCGTTTGTCAGGAGCAAACAAACACTTTGTCGAATCTGTGCAATGAGTAACGTCGCATAATCCTAAAAAGAAGATATTTTACATACGCAGGGCATAAAATAAAACATTCCCGTAAACTACTAGGATTAAAGACTTACCAAACGCGTTCTCTAGAAACAAAGGCGCTAGTAAAAATATCAAATACACCTACAAGACACAAGACAAGGAAATACAGAATAAGAGTATTTTAATAGAATATTTTTCTTTCCAGTCATGCGGCGCATTCGTATTTATAAGATTAATATATAATTGCCCACAAAACCAAAAATTAAACAAATTACTGCGAGGCCCACACCTTCGAAATTCTAAGAGTCATCGCAGTAGTTTAATTGTCACTTTTTAATAAACGTTCACCCTCAAAGCAGCAAAACTAGATTAGGCCTATATGCCTTTTCAAAACCTTCTTGCGTATTATTGTTTCAGATAACAAACTAGAGTACGAAACGCTAAGGGAAATAGCGAGCACCTTCTTTATTGTTATATAGGTTAAACCAGAAAATTAATTAACATGCATTATAACACCTGTCATGGTTAAAATGACGCTGCCTTAGTTAATTACTCACGGGATGAACCATTCTAATGGATAATATCGGGTGACTAACTGACTAACGCCTCCTAGTGGCTGCCGTGTGAATCACAGGCCGTAAACAGAAGCAGAGAGACCATGAATCCGAGTTCGACCATTCTTCGTGTTAAAAGAAAACGGGGGACAGATGCAGCGGACGCGCTGTTGCTGGCATGTAAGCGGATTCGGCCTGAGACCGCAGCACAGTCAGCCGCGGAATCTATTCCAGAACCTGCAGAGGGGGAAATAGAGAACTCGGTCTTCAAGCTGGTGGCCACCGTGTCCTCGCAGGTACAGGCCGCCTTGAAGCCTCGGCGTCGCGTGAGCGGATAGGCGGATGGTGTGCGCGTCTAGCCCTTTTGCGAAATACGAATGTTTCGATGCGTTAGACTGACTAGCCACTGGGTTATCTGGAAGTAAGTCACATTATTTTTAAGGGGCTGCATTTTAAGATGACATATGTGTAACATTTAGGTTACAATCTCGGTATAAGTAGTTTTAAAGTACTGATAATTAACCGGTCTCCTAGTGCCGTATGACACTCTGCCCTGTGTGTAAAGCTTAACTGTTTGTTCAGTTTTTAAGCAACAAAACAACTCCTTTTCGGAAATGCGCTCTAGCTGCTTTATAATGGCTATGCCATGGTCTGTGTGTATGGGTGAGTAACTGGCTTTGTAGAAACTCTTCCTAAATGGGCCGCGGACTCTAATGTATTTCCAGCCATTCCAGTCTGATTCATAATTAAAGTAACTTTTTAGATGTCGAACCAGTTGTGTTGCATTATAACCGCGAAAATTGCCATTTTCAGACTGGACATAATAAACTACAAAATCAGGTGTGTGTCTCACAGTCAGGCGATGCTTTTCATCCCTGTGCAGGAATCTTGTATATATATTTATTATTTCAATATATTATTTATGGTCCAAGATCTGTTTATTTTAAAATCGATGTTGCATGACGTGACGCACTTTCTGGTTAAATTGCGACTGAAACAAACTTGATCGCCTGATTATTTGCGGTAACTTTAACCTCCAGTCGTTTCCAGGAAAAGCTTGTGTGGTTCTCGTTTCAGACTGAGGCTGTATATAAAGCGATTAGATTAGATTCCAATTTATTGTCATCAGGGGTGGACGTACCGTAAGGCTCTAAAAATAGCTCAAATAGCCAGAGCCGATTTTATGGACACTGGCAAGAAAACTCCATGAGCCCTCCAACTCGCCCTCCCCCAATATGGCAAAACTTATTACCATCATTGTCTTAAAGTCTTTATCGATTATATCAACAAAAAAAAATTATAAACGCATATTATACCCACTAGAATGTGCAAATAAAACAGATTTGTCCACGCAAAGTACTATGAAATCGGCCGCCCTCAGGGGCCACCTTCCAGAATGGGGCCCCAGGCAATTGTCTGTCCTGTTGCTACGCCTCTGCAAATGGCTCACTTAGGGGGGCCCCTACTCATGTCAGCTTAGGACCCCCAGAGAAGTTAGTCTGACCCTGGTTGTCATTGTGCTGAGTACAGAGCCAGTGAAATGCAAGCAGTTCCTGTTTTGGAGCTCAAGGGGTGCAGAATCTCCAGGGGAACCTCAAGGGGCATGGGCCAGGGAGGTGCCTAGAACTCCGGTTCTCTCAACCTGGTCATCTTTGTGTCTGTCTGCTTAATGTTCATTTCAAATTCAACTGCTTGAAGCTTTCACCCTGATTTTTAAATGGTTACAGGCTATTGATTTACCTAGAATTTTCAATCAATACAATTTCAACTGCAATGGCACAATTAGAAGACGAGATTCTTACGTCTTGTAAAACATTTCTTTCAACATCAACACAATAAAGCACACCCTGTACATGGTCTGGGACAATGGTGGAAACAATACTAGGTGGTGGAAATTAAGGCTGCCGCTAACGATTATTTTTCGGTAGATTAATCTATCGACTATTGATTGGTCGAATAATCTCAATGATTAATTACCCTCCGGAAAATCAACTTGACTGTTTCATTTAAGCTAATTTTAACGACAGCAAACTGTATGCCATTGCAAGGCATAATGTGCGTGGGCTTTTTGTCACTATAGGAACATATTTTCACCCATAAGCAGATTAGTAGTATGCCTAAAAGTATTAATGAGATGTGTATTGTGATGCCCAAAAGATTGTAATCTGTATAAATTTGGCTTTTCCTCATGCTTAATAGATTAAGTTAGCGGAGCACGCCACTTGCGACACAAGTGATGAGCACTGAAGTCACGAAGAAAGGGACAGATTAGCAGCCACGACATCTTTTAAAGGAGGAGATATTGTGGTTAAACAGTGTAAAAAGATGTTGGTGGTGTGACGGTACTTTCTGCAAATCAAAGTTGTCATTTTTATTTCAGTTCATACATTACTTTCTTTTATTCAGTTTCCGGTTTCCTTTCAGTTTTAGTTTACGATAACGACACTGGTCCCAACAAGTCCAATGCGCATGAAAGCACACACTGGCACCATCAGTCAACGTGGAATAAGGGCTGATTTTAGTCTAAACATTTTATAGTTATATAAACACGTATTCAATGGAGATTCTAATGTAGCAGGGATACAACTTTACGGCTTTAATAATGAGTCATACTGCCAGGAAGTATGACTAGATGTGACGGTACAAATGCAGACTATAAATATACGTTGTGTAAAAACGAAGTCTGTCTAAATAAACAATAGATTACCCTGAATAACATCAGTGGTTGAAGTCTGGGTATAAACAGCATGGACCGTGGTCTTTGCTATACTGGGCCTTTAAGGGTGTAGTTTAAACAGCGATTCACGTATACATCTACTATGTCATTTCTTTGCCTGCTTTTCTATCCTGATTTAATTGCATGTAATTTCATTATGATATTACATAATTTTATTATTTTCAAGGCTTGCTTTGTTTTTTTATTTTATTTCATTATTTAATGTTTATTTTAGTTTTAGTCAATATTTTCCATCCAGGGTGGGACACTGACTGATATCACGGTTGGTCTGTCCGTCCTTCCTTCCTGCACAGGATGCTCCGGTCCAGACCCACGTCCGAGCGGCCTTGTCCCGCCCCCGCATGGCTCACGCCCTGCGCCCCTCTGCCGGCAGCGCCCACAGGATAGCCGGGGACCTCCGCAGCATTAAGTGGAGCACCCGGCGGGAGGAACGCTACCGCATCCTGTCCAGCCATAGGGCTGGTCTGGCTCCCCTCGAAGCCCCCTCTGAAAGGGAGAGTGATGAGAGGAGGGCAGAAGAGGCTGGCCAGCAGGAGGCAGCAGAGCGACGGGAGGATGGCTCCGCCCACTGGCTCCTGAGAGAGATACAAGTGTTTGACATTGTGCACGAGGAGGGTGAAAAGCCCAGTGTCCAGGTAGTTTTTTCGACATTTTTTTCAGAATTGCACATTTGGGATGACTCTGCATGTGTTTGTATTTACCACATTGTGGGGACTAAATGGCCGTGTTTGACTTAAGGGTGTCAATGCTGGGGTTATGCCTGTAGAAATTGAGTCCCCACAATGATAGGGATATATGCACTGTGTGTGTACACATGTATGTGCCCTGTGATGGACTGGCATCCCATCGAGGGTGTAGCCTGGCCTTGTGCCCTATTCTGCCTGAGACCGACTCCAGGCCCCACTAAGACCCTGACCAGGATAAGGGGTATAAAGATGCATGTTCCGGAGGTGTGGGTCTCCTCGCACTGCGCCCAGTCCCCAGCACACTGAACGTCTTGTGAGCCAGTTGTTCCCAAAAGAACAGCTCAGCCAAAGCTGGCTCTTTATGCTGCCCGGATGGAAATCCTCTCCTAGAAAACATATGAACCCATTTGAAAATATTACCCCCTGCAGCAGGGGCTCTGAATGGAAACCCGAATGTCCTGTTCAAGGGAGAGTAGCCCCTGTATGTGTTTAAATGCAGTCATAAAGGCAGGTGTGTGATAGACATCACGTAGTCATTATGCAGTCTGTGCATCATGTTTTCTCTTGACCTTTCCATTTCTTACTATGTGAGGAAGTAAGACATGATGATTAGGTGATCTGTAGTTTTTCTGTTTTTGTTTTTTGGTGATGAGCGCAGCTTTTTTTAAATCTCATGCTCTGGATTCTATGGTCATGTTTAAGTCACCCCCCCCCCCCCAACCCAAGGAAATCAATGATAGAACATGCTACCTTTATAATCTGCCCCCATTCAAAGGTTTTCAAAGCCTCCCTTAAAACAAATCTAGTGGATTTCCGCCTAGCAGGTGATTCTGCTAAAGTAATTACTGTTCTCTTAGATCTGTGCAGAAATGATGTCGGTTAACAGATCAGCATCTCATACTCTACTTTTATTCTTTTTCAGACTGTAACCTCTGACTCTGAAGACATACTGTGCAACTCCATAAAGATGATCCGGGAGAAGCTGAGCGTGTCGGGGGATGGTGTGGGTGCTGGGCACCGTGAGAAGGATGATGACTACGTCTATGACCTCTACTACCAGGAGGATGCATCTCTTGGGTGGATCCAAGACATCCTCTCTGTGAAACCATACCTGGAGGAGCGTGAGCTGGTGAGGCATCTCTGCTTTGACACCAGATAGCGTGAACTTTGAATTTGCGCCATTTTAAATTTACACGTGGGGGGATTTTCATTTATATGGTGAATGTATAACTGGAATGACTTTAGAATAGTGATGTTTGAGATCTGGTACCCAGAATGGGGAAACTGGAAAAGCTATAAAGGTTTGGCTTTTCCTGCCATTTGTCCACATGCTGTGATGTGGTTCCTGGTGAGTTTGACTTCCATGTTACCATGACAGGATGCAGGAAGCCTTCTCATTTGTAGTCAGTGTATTCAGGAGTCATCTCTCTATCTCTCTATATCTATATCTATCTCTATCTATCTATATCTATCTCTATCTCTCTATCTCTAGCTATCTCTCTCTATCTATATCTCTCTATCTCTCTCTATCTCTATCTATCTATATCTATCTATATCTCTCTCTATCTATCTATATCTCTCTCTATCTCTCTATATTTTTTTCCTTCTTTGTGACTCTACTTCTGATGGAAAATGTCTGGGAATCTAAAGACAATTTTCTCCTACATGTTGGTTCCACCTGGGAGAGGCTGAAGTGTTGTACTGGTGTTTCACATGGATGCATTGATCTGGTTTTAGGTGCCAGAGGAAGACCCCAGGGAAGAAGAAATCTATGAGGATGAGGATGATGAGAATGAAGAAGGGAACTGGAGGAACGATTATCCAGATGAGGAGGGCAGTGAGGACAACAGTGACTTGGAGGAGCGCTATACGGGTTAATATCTTTAGCAGAACTATCATTTGTGTGGATTGTATGAGTCAACTGCAGTTGACTAGCTCTGCTGACGTCTTTGGCTGTTCTCTAGAAACACGTGGTGTGTAGAGTAAGTCTAACTCCAAGCTCTATATGAAATTACAAGAAGTATGGTTGTGATACTTAAGTAGTGCAACAAAGCCAGCTTTTATCTGGTGGATATTGCATCACTAACCTTGTGCACTCTGTGGCAGGGTGTGACTATGACGAGGGCTTCGGCCGGCGGTCCTGGCAGAGATACCGACGAGAGGTCCTCCAAGAGTTTGAGGACTATGAGGAAGAAGAATATTTGGATTCAGACTGAAACATCAGGCCTTTGAGAGTCTCTTCCTACTCTTGTTTGTAAGGTTGTTTGCTGTGTGTAGCTGGAATGTCCACTGAATAAGTGAGAGTGTGTATCTTGTGCTTTGTTGGAACTTTGTAAATATGTTGATAGGCTTTTCTTTCTATTAAAGTTTAATGTCAAGACTGTTGGACTCATTAAAAGAAAAAAGAAAAAAAAACAAATTCCATGATATATTTTATAATTAACTTAGTATCCTAGATAAGGGTTACTTTTCTCTTCCCCTGTGATCCGTAGCCTCAGACGACTTGCTGTACATGTTCTGTCCTTGCGAAATAATTTGGGACAGAAGTGCTACAGGTTGGTCTGACTGTGCCAAGAGTATTAGCTTAGAAATAGGCCTGGAGATGAGCATATTACATGCAAATGTGTACTCATTCGCCGCTTGTACTGGTTTTTTGAAAACTACAGGAACGAGGACCTTCTTACAGGAATAGGTGTATCATGGGTACTCTGATCTTGCGGCTGCTTGTTCACATACCCATGTGTGAGCAGGGGCCTGTTTCACAAAACTTAGCCTTGCTTAGCCGGATCACTTGTCAGATTTAGGGTAGTCTGAGCTACATTTCAGTGGATGAATGTGTAGTCCATTTAGCCAGACTACCTTAAAGCGACTAAGCTATCCAGCTAAGCAAGAAGTCCTGCTTCGTAAAATACCCCCCAAGAGTGTGAAAAAGCTGGAAAGTAATGGAAATAAAATTCTCGATTTTGACAACTATAGTGTCTTGCTGTCCATTAGATTTGTAGCTGTGCTGCTGGTCTCTTAACAAGGCAGTTTCTGAACAGTTTAATTTCTCATCTCCTGTGTCACTATTACATTTTATGGCTTTATCACTAGTGGGGTGGCCATAATTCTTCCCCAAGACCTAGCAAAGTGTCAGACGCTTGACTTCCTTAATCACTTCCTCTTATTTGTGTGTCTATAAGGAAGCTGTGACAAACGAGCTTCTCCGCAGGAGCTAATGTCGGTCCTCTGCCGCTGCTGTGGTTTACAAAGTCACTAAAAAAAGGTTGAGTTGCTCATAAGTTAAATGCCACACACCAGCAACCGGGTAAATAGCTGTGGGTCGACTCGTGATTAAATCTCCCAACAGAGAATCGAGAAGCTTCCGCAACATTTAACCCAAATGGATGGTAAATCATAATTCACCAAAGCTTTTTTTTTTTTTTTAAAGTTGGTCATCACTATGGTAACTGAAAAAATTACCAAAACCAGACAACGGTATTGTGGTAAACCTGTGCGAAGCTCGGTGTTGATTTATTTCTAATGTTTAAGGCTGCATCCGCCTGTCTAGAGGTCACTACATACAATCACAACAGGTGGTATGTAATGAAGGGGCCTTTATTAAATTAGATTTTATACGTTTGCAGTCAAAACAAAACAGGACTCAACATGACAAAAGTAGGATAATAAATGCAAACTGGAAATTTCACAATTGACACGTCATAATCATGCATAGCGCCCTGCTAAGGGTTACTGTAATGTGAATCCTTGCTCACTTACTTTGGCAGTGAACAACCAGTACATGAGAATGTTCAATTTATTTTTATATAGCACCTTTCCCAAGATCAGTCATGGGCAATGCAATTTTGTGACAAGCATCTTCTAAGAGGCCCAAGATTTGTTATAATTAACTTACAATTCTTACATGGTAAAATTTCCATAGATTCTATGGTGCATGAGGGAAACAGGCCCTGGTACTTTTGCTGTATATTTAAATGACGTTTTTTTTGCCTATGGATATTCGCATTTTGCCGGTGAAGATTCTTGGCAAACGGCACCTCCCACTGTCCAATGGATGGCAGTACTGTGTGGTAGCTCCAGCCTAATTGTCACTGAGGGGTCCGACCAATAATTTGTACTACCTGTTGTTCAAACAACTCTAATGTTAATCAGCTTATAGCAGTTTATATTCAGTTCAAAACTTGTTTTTAATGTGCGAAACTACCGTAGCATATGGTATGCATGAATAGCCTCTATATTATCAAGTAGCCTCTGTTATATCCTTTGTATTATTGATATCAGATGACTTGGTTAAATAATATATCTTAATATTTTAAAGCTATGCCAGAGAACCTAATGCATTACAATGTAAATAATTAAACATCAGCTACGGTAAACCAGGTGGAATACAATGGACGTTATGTCACATTGGTCTTGATACAAGATACCGAGTAAGAAATTACTGAACAATATATTCAACAAAATTAATGATAAACCCACTAAGTACTTTGCCTGTATTTTGGGTTCTGGAACAGGTTCAAGAAAACTGCAAAGTACTCTCCCAAATGGCCACTAAACCACAATGACCTAAGACTACATGAAAACCAGAAAAAAAGATCTAATCTAATAATCTGAACCTTTAACCCTAACATGATATGCACACTAAGCAATAACAATATACATTCCTGCGGTGAAATAATAAAAAAAAATGATTCTGATTTGCAGTTTTATGAAAACTACTCTGTATATGTATGGTCTAATAAATAAATGCAGTAATGGTCTATAAATAAGTAGCAATAAACCTTGTAGTATTGCTGCAATGGGGACATAAACCCCAACTAAGCCAAGAAGGACACCAGCGTCGCTGGGAATCCGGGGGCTCGCTGTGCCCTTTCAGTGTGTGACGTGGGAGGGGCTGGGGGTGTTTGCAGTGGAGACCAGCCCCAGGGTGGAGACCACCAAAACAGCCACGTGCTCCCCAAGGCAGAGACAGGTGTCCAGTAATGAGCGTGTGCGGCCCCCCAGCGTCAGTGCCGCCGTGATCAGCTCGTACTCCTCGCGGCCAAGGGCGCGGCGTGAGCGCAACACGTCCAGCAGGTGATTCAGGCGGCCTTCTGTCATTCTCCGCACGATGTCCTCGCGTCTCTCCCGCAGGATCTGGCAGCAGTTGTTTCCCGGCGCGCCAGCTGTTAGGAAAACGGTGTAAAGGTCATTAACTGCAGCACGTATGACCGATTTCCACATTCTTACAACCGCGTTGCAAAATTCTATAATGTTTAAATCTCACTGTCATGCAGTCTGTTTAGTTTTCTGTTTGAACTTGTTGGTATTCTAATTTCTTTTTTTAGTAATTCAGTTTAATTTTAAGGAGGGGGTGGGATTCACAGCAGGGAGAGTTTGGGAAATGTGTTAAATCCACCATTCTCCTGCATCCAGTGACTGGTTTGACACAGATGACCAAGTGCAGTGCAGGCAGGTCCAATCAGGCTACAGCGAGAGGTAGAGTCTTACCCTCACAGTGATGTCTTAGCGCTGTGTTGGGGTCAGGGATGGGAGAGCAGGCAGATGGCGGAAAGGGGGAGGAGCTCCTTCTGGGACCCGTCTTGTCTGCCCTGCTCTGTGGGAGGGGCTCTGGCGCAGTGTGGCTCCGAAGCCGATTTGGGGGGGTCGGACTGCCATTCATGCCCCCTACAAAACCATGTGACACTTGTTGAGGCCAGTCCATGATGTCATTTGGGCATATTGACAACCTTCCTCACCAAGCCCAGCGCCTTGCACCATCGCAGATATAAGCTCTTACCAGAAACGTTGGCCTTTCCGGACGAAGTTGAGGAGGAGGAAGGGGAGGAGCTTTGCCGGGATGCGTCAAGTTTATTGGGAATCTGTGGGACTGGAGTGAGTCCTTGGATAGGATTCAGCAGCAGCGTCTTGGTACAAGCGCTTTTTGGGTGCCTACAGCCACCGTACATCTGGCAATAAAGCAAAGATAGATACGTCTAGTACAACTGGTACCAGTTACAAGTACAGCAACACCAATAAGTTCCAAAATGCTACAAAATAACACATATAGATATGTTTTTTTTTTTATCAATACTTAGAAATAAAACTTTATCTTACATCCAAATTGCTGATCTCCACCTTCATTTCGAAGGCTTGTTGCTCTTTACAGCCGAGCACTGCCCTCTCCTGGACAACAAAAAAAATGCAGAAACATACAGTATACCGTGACCTCACGGAAAGCAATTCTGTGGCAGTAATGCTCCTGTTTCGGGTAACGCTTTCATATGCACTTTCTGAGGAGGTCCTGAGCAGACATTAAACCTGGTGTGAGAAGCTGGGAACTGAGAATGAAACGTCCAAGAGGAATCTGTTAATTACCTTGCATTCATTTAACTGGAGCACTGCTGTGGTCAGCGCTTTAGAATCATAGGCTGCCAGGGCCTTTTTCAGTTCCTCTGTGCATTCTGGGTACAAACAAAAGACCGCGGATGAAACAGACGCCATGGTGTGTAATGATTATGTCACCAAAACACTGATTTCTTAACTGGCTTATAGGAAAAGAAAGTGATGGATGGTTCATAAAGATTGAGACAAAGGCACTTATTGTTGCCAATGGCCCTTCATTAGAAGAAGTCCCACAAGTGAAGAAACGACATGCCTCAAGCAGGGTCACCAACTCTCACGCATCTGGTGTGACACTCGTGCTTTCAGACTCTTACGCTCGCACAAGAAATCTTACTGCAAATCTATATTATTCCATTTTAAACCTAAAGTTAGCTACTGTACATCAAAAGTGTTGGGGTAGTTTGCAAACAGGGGCAGTTATTATTTTTTGGAAAAATAATAATAATAATAATTGCACAGTAATGATAAAAGTAACTACAGACTTCGAGCCGACGAACCGATGAAGCCATGTATTGTTTTCAGGGGAGTCACAAAGTAATGTGTACATTATTACAAACCATTGTATTTAATCCGAATTTTTAAATAATATGCTTTATGGCAATCCTTTCGTAAATACAAGTTGTCCAGTCAGACCTTCTTAAACCAAGAACTGCCTGTACTTATGACTCCGGCCTCCGCTACATATTTTAGGGACTAACTAACAATGGAAGTCCCGTGAGGGGTGTAAAGATGGGACCATAATGTGCATGTCATGGAGTGTCCACTAGATGGCACTGCTGCGAATCCTCACCTGCAGCTGACGGGCGGCTGTGGGGGGCAGTGCTGCAGCAGCGCAGTATCAGGTGGTAGAGAGCCTGGTCTGTGGGCGTCGCGCCGCTTTGTGCCTGACGGGTAACATGAATCTGCAGGCCTGCTGGGCTCCAGACACCTGCTTATGTATGGGGGGAGATGAATAGGAGTGAAGGACTTGGAAACTCCCCACATGGGAGCTGTTTTAACCCTGAGTAACCTCTGTACCCGAGGTCTCTGACTACCAGCTCACGAGCATTAAGCCCAGCCCCCGATGAGCTCAGTGTTCTCTGATTGGTCAGCGTGGCCTACACGCTCTGCCCTTTTCTTACAGTTTGCAGACAGATTCTTGCAGGTAGGCGGCCAGTAAGGATTGTGTTACAAGGTTACTTCACCACCATGAGGGCTAAGCGTGTTTCTAAGTCATTATTAAGTCTGTGCTGTAGGTCAATATTTCATTTTGCACTTCGCTTTTTTTTTACTTTTTTCAATCAGGGGATCTGCATACACTTGTGGCCCCCAGGTGATTTGAGTTTGGGACCCCTGCTCTACACTATTAAAAAATCAGTACAGGAGACTGGCAAGCAACACAAGAGAAAACACGAAGAGGATTTTGCTGTAAACCTACTGTATATTGCGGGAACTAGATGAATGACATGTTGAGATTTTAAATGGGTCAAATTTGAGCAGTGCTGAGTGACAGTAATGCACAGACAAAAAACACGCACATACACACAGAGGTGCACTAATTAATGGGAATTATTTTTAAAAAGAATAGTACTAATAATAGTATTAATAATAATACTTTATTAGTCCCCATCTTGCTCTTCATGAGACACTCAAACAAATGTACAGGTGAGAGCAAGCCTGGGGGGGGGGACAGGATCAGCCAGCATGCAGTGGCCCTGGAGCTGGGGGTTCAAACCAACAACCTTCTGATCACAGGCACAACCCACTGAGCCACCCGGCGCCCCCATTTACATGGCACACCCCAGTATGAATGACCGATTGCTCTTGTTGCGACACACTCCTTGTCTGACTTAATGTATTTCCAACCACACAAGGTCACACAAAGTTGGGCTTTTAATAAAGATTTTTTGGAAAGGCGGGGAGAGTGTGTAGGATAGGCTTGCCCCCCTCCCCAAGATTTCAAAATACTGGAATGACGTTTTTCAAAGTACATTATACCATGGTATGATGTATGGTCTATATGACAGTATGAAAAATTAGATACCGCCCAAGCCCAGCGAGACAGAGGGTGGGGGATGTGGGAGGAGTAGGGATTAGCTGGGGCAAGGACGTGATGGAGCAAACTGGGGAATATATTATTGTTGTTTTAAAGGGGCCCCATTATGCTCATTTTCACTGTTCATAATTGTAGTTTTGGGGTCTACTAGAATAGATTTACATGTTTCAATGTTCCAAAAACACATCATTTTCTCCTACTGTACATCTCTATTCACTCGGAGTGTAATGCTAGAGCTTTAAGCCCCAACCCCAACTGGTCAGACTGCCCTTCATGTTCCCTCCTCGCCGTGCAGTCTGCAGATTGTGTTACCAGGTGATCTCACCACGTAAGCTGGAATTCCAGCAATCTGCTTCAGGCAGATAAGAGAAGAGTGGTTTCTGTGGTAAGAGTACTTAGGGCCTTACAACTTGGCAGACCGCTTACATGCACATAAAGCTATATAACACACTGAAGGAAAGAGAAAAATCAGACAAGCATAATAGGGCCCCTTTAACAGCATCTAGTTGTTCTGTTTTGCTGTCTGCCTTTACTGTTCCTGTCTCCTTACCGAGTTAAACTTAACATACTGTTAACTGACAGTGTGAGTAAGCATCACATTGTGCATTGCTCATAGGGCAATAAACTTGAACTCTATCCCTGAGTGATGCAACTGTATGACACTGTGATGTATAAGAAAAGGTTCCCTTTTAAAACTGCTATCAGTTAAATACATCGATCCCGGTTTTTTTCCTGCATACATACGCAGCTTACTCCATACACAAAGCTTGGACCAGCTCACAGATGTGTACGTACAGTTGAGGGCACTTGGTGTTTTTTTTCACAAAAACCACAGATTCATTAATATTCCATTGTCATACCTTCACAAGGAAGTCTTCGGTTCAAAGTCTCCAGCATCATGATGCCAAAACTGGTGAGGAAGGTAGTCAAGTCTGGTTATTAATCTCTCCTGCCCTTGACAAACCATAATACTAACTAAATACTCACTTACTTTATGAAACTACCATCAAGGAAACGTTTATGCGTTGATATCTCTGTGACGGTTTCGGATGTTACATTTACCTTTCAGTATTTCACAGTTACATTATACAGTTAACCACACTCCTTTTTATTTTTTTCTAAATCAACAACATTCAACTCCCGGAAATAAATTATTTTTCATTAGGTACATCCTATGACTCAATGATCCAATCCTTTCTAACTTCTAATTACCAGAATATGAGTATTATGTAAGTTCCTAGGGTGTAACTAACCCATACAATTAAAAAGGAATTTAACCTGTCCTGCTAAGCCTACATCTGAAAATAGGTACAGCATTAATTAAGTTTAAGTAGTTAATTTAAAAGTAAAAAGTGCTCATTACCTCTATAAGTTTGAGTATCAAACAGTGAATAGTTGAAATGGTAAAATGCTGACAGGTGTGAACGGCATTGTGGGTATCCTCACCTATACACATCTGCTTCTTTTGAAGGAGGGTCGCCACAGAAGACCTCAGGTGGCAGGTAGACCAGGTCCCTGAAGCAGGGTCTGCTCCTGGGCCCAGAGCTCTGCTCCTTCCACTGGCCCCAGTCACACACCTGAGGAACATCCAGCAGAGAAGGTAGATGTTTCTATTGGTCAGTAAGGGGACCAATCACATCCTTGTAAGGGACAGGTCACAAAATCAAATCTTTAAAATATAAATATACTCCTACAATGTAGTATAAATGTACCCTACAGTAGGGGTTCCTAACCCCCATACATCAGTATTCCACCATGTTAGCGATGGAATCCATCCGTACTTCGCAAGTGTTATTGTGGGATATTATGGTCCAGTCTAGGGGGAACCGTGCAAAATGGATGATGGGTGATTTTAGCTAATTAAATTGAAAACAGGCTGGTATATTGTAGGTAGTGTTATTTGAGGCAATGGTGGCCAACAACTGCAGCGTGTATCTAGGGAACTCCCCCCCCAACCGCCCCGCTCAGCAAATTTTACTGATCATTCGTGTAATTTTTGAAAAACTGGTCTGGGGACATTAAAAGTTTGGCAACCCCAAAGATTCTACAGGATGGAGAATTAGAAATAAATAAGAATAAGGTATTTTACACCATGTAGCCATAATTAAAAAATATTTTAATTATACTAATTATTTAATTTAACTATTTAATTATATCAAGTTTTTTGGTTATGCAATTATAAACAAACAAATACCAAAACTTATATGAAATTAACTTAATTATCTGTGCTCGCGTTGCGTAGGGGTGAGCACCTTGGCACGGCGCTGCCGGTCCAGCAGCACATTGCTTGGCCTGAGGGCGAGATGTAGCAGCTGAAGGGAGTGCAAGTGGGAAAGTCCCTCAGCCACGTCCAGCAGGATCCGGAGCGTCAGGGGCGGCGGCAAACTGGGATACAGCCGCGTCTGCCAGGGGAAGCCATTGGCAAGAGAAGGTCCACAGCAATCACTGTGAATTCTGTGGTCTTACATGTACAGTTTCAATCCCAGAGAAACTGGAAATGAAAGTTACTTCATAAGAGCAGATTTGACAAATGGGTGCCCATTTCCTAATGCTTTCAACTGAAACCTAATCTCTACCATTATTAAAATGTTTAACAATTAACAGTTACAAATGTTAATATATCCTGAACAAGTGTGTAGACTTTTACACTCTAGGGCTAAACTTGTCACAGTCACATGAATATGATTAATGTCAGGGAGAGGGGTAATAAAGTTCTGGAACAAACTGCTTATGAATCATTATATAACGCAACATCCTTGGGTCCCGTACCTCATACAAAAGGGTGTGGAGGGATCCTTCCTGCATCCACTCTGACACCAGGCCTACATGGGGGCACGTCCCATACACACCCAGAGGAATCAGAACCCGCTCTGACTGGGTACATCTGACAAGGGATACATCCTGCAGAAACTTGATCCACCACCTGTGGGGGTAGAGTTAGAGGTGTAAAGATATTGCTCACCGACCCGCAACAGTCCCTTCACACACACCCAAGCCCTGTTTGGTATCTATGGACCAAATCTTGGTATCCTGGTGACCAAGGTTTCCATGGTGATGACAGGGTTACGCCATCTTTCAGATTCTAAGGTGTGGAATCAGCAGCAGACAATGAAAATAACTGCAGGCAGGCTTTTCTTTGTGGTGTCTTATCCAGCGTAGACAAAACAAAACAACACAACGTCATCTTTTTGTTTGAAGTTCCAAACTATTGTTGCCTGAACAATACAGCAAAAGCGAAGATTACAAGAAATGTTTCTTACATTATCTGTCCTAAGTTGAGTTATTTACTTAAAACATAATTATTGTAATATGTATAAATTTGTCTGTTAATAGATGTCAGTGTCATGGACTAATGAATCGAAATTTGAAATATTTGGGTCTATATTTGGATTGTTAGCCACAGCGAGGGTGAGAACATGACACTGGTATGTGTGAATGCCAGTCATACATCAAGGAGGCAGCACCATGGGCTGTGGTGACAGACAGACTTTGTGATCTTTATCAAATTCATGACAATCAACCTGCAGTGTTATCACTGCATACTCCAAAGTCATGCTATTCTACCAAGACTAAGCGCTACATTCTTCAGAAAAGTGATACAAAACATCTCAAAGTTATGCAGGAATTATAAGGCGAAGAATGAAACGCGACTAACTGATGACATGGTCTGCGCAACGCTCAGACCTCAAGTCCCATAGGACTCGCATGAGACAGAATTTATATGAGTGGTGACAAAGCACATCTCTCCTGGAACCCGTAAATGTGAATCAAGGCAAATAGTGGCTATTTTGATGAATGCAACATTTAGAGATTTTTAACTGTGCGTTGGTATTTCATATGTGTTGAACATTGTGTTGTATTTTTTTCCACATTCTAGAATTTGTAGAAATATTCACTCCTGGGCCAAACCCAAAAATTACCTACAGTTAGAGTCCAGATTTGAACCCTATAGAGATTATTTGGTCTAATTTTAAATACAAACTAACCAGGAAACATTTTTCAAGATGCATTTCCTGGAATCTTTGTTTATATGTTTGTATTGTGGTCCTGGTTTCCCTGTATATCTGCCCTCTGTCCTTGTTCCTCCAGTTCTTCCCAGTCTTGCTCTGTACATCCTGAAGTAGCCTGTTCAGGCAGCCACACCAGCGGTTCTGTCCAAAGTTCACCTATCTCTCCAGCGTTTACCCATCTGTCCAGTGATTACCCACCTACCCACTGGTCACCTATCTGTCCAGTGATTACCCACCTACCCACTGGTTACCTATCTGTCCAGTGATTGCCCACCTACCCACTGGTTACCCATCTGTCCAGTGATTACCCACCTACCCACTGGTCACCTATCTGTCCAGTGGTTACTTGTCTCACCAGTGTTTACCTGTTCAGCACTCTCATTTGGGCAGAAAGCTGGGTATTGTTGGTGGGACGGTCAGATTTTGGACTTTTTTTGATTTTTACCTACTGCTCCGAGTCCCTCCTGTGAGAGCTGGTACACGTTATCAGTGACTAATTTCCTGAGATACACTGAGGTTAGAGTCTAAACAATGCACAATTCACACCGAATGGGAAGCTGGTCCATCATAGGACGTACACAGATTCGGTATCCCTCTGAAAATTAATGTATATAATAACAGATGTGCTTGCTAGCAAAGGTCAGCTGTCTTCATATAACTGTATTACCTACGATTCAAGTACAGTATATAGCGATTTATATTCATACAGTTTTAATAATACGCCTGGTTAATACTGGATGAAAAAAGAAATGGAGCTGACTCACCTCTCCTGACATGCAGTGACAGACAGGAGTTTAAGGGACACCCAGCGAGAGGTCCCCCGGTGCCATCCGCGGAGACACACGCCTGCGCTGGTCTGGCTGAGCACCACGTCCCCCAGGTCCTGCTCGGGGATGATGGGGAGCGGCTTGGTCTCTGTCATGCTCATTCCAATGGTTCTGTCGGGTGATTCACACTAACAAGGAGCAAAAACGCGCCGAGACGCGCTTCTGGTTTCACTGCAGGAACCGGACGCCGTCCAGGAGCGAAGAAGCAAACGGGCTTCGATGATAGAGTGGCGTGGAAAAACGAAAGTGTGCAGCTCTCCGCCGTGATTGGATGGAGCCCGTGAAGCACAGGAAGCCTGAACAACTGGAAAGTCCCTCAGTAGGATCCCAACAACTTACCTCATATCACCTTACATAAGCAGCAATTAATTACCTCGCGTAGAATAATACGTCTATATCCAAAGTGTCTGAATTTGGGAAAAAAAATACTTTTATGTTAGTTTAACGTTATTTCACACAAGCCTCTTTCACATAGGCTCTACTCTATAGCTTGTACGCAACTATATCGGATTGTATCGGATAAATAGTTTTATTTTTCTTTTATTGATTTTATATTTCTATATAGTTCTCTTATTAAAATATACTTGTGCGTATTTCAGATTCACACCAACAATGAGCAGATACAGACGTACAGTGCATATAAATTTAAATTACACCTTTCGGAATAAATTGTTGAAGCTGGGGCGCCGGAGGGGCACGGATGCCCTGGTAGATAAAGGGTGCCTAGCCCATCGCCCAAATTCTATAGTGCCCTCCACCCCCAAGATGACGCTTTGCCGTGGAGGCGGGGTGCAAAACTTTTCTCTATACCCCTGGGTGCAAGTAACGAGAGTGCTGACTTAAATGAATGCGTGGGCCATCAGGGCCGGGAGTCCCGCTTCCCGTTTTCGGCTCCAGTCTGATTTCCCCTCTTTTAAAAACGAATGTTATTCGTTATGACTCACTGTGTTTACCTCCTTCGCCGCTGACCACCCATTTCCCCGAAAGTCCCTTTGTATGGCCCAGCTTCACTCCCTCAGACTAATGGAGTCTTTTACGTTATGCATGGGACAAAAATCATTCGCGTAACTAATACTCTACAATACTCTGTATACCATGACAATAAGAGCACTGAAAGTTCACGTTTGAGTGAACCTGCCGACAGTTATAATTTAACTATTAAATAGAAACAATAGTTAGTGCGTTTGAATTTGAATATGAATACAAAGTTACTATATTATGTAGACGTAGTTCTTCTTCAATATACCATAAACACCGATTGAATTAATAATGGATATTCCTTTACTTGTTTGTGACCGTCTCGAATTACACACTTAATTTTTAATAACATATAATTTATGTTGGCGTGTGAGTTGTAGGATTTTGGTTTTATTTTGACGAAGTGCTGTTTGTGTCTGCCCTCCTTTTCTTTGTTGTATTTTTAAATCTCTATACGTGTACACATAATATTTTGTGTGTGTGTGTGGAGGGGGGGGTGATGATGCATATATTACATTGTGGGGACCAAACGTCCCCACGATATGTGATAAAAAAACAGCTATTTTTTGCCGTTGTGGGGACCACCTTTTCGGTTCCCACAAGGGGAAACTCAATTTGATAAATCTTGTGACTGCAATCAAAACTAAAAATGCAAAATGCCTAAAGTTTCTTTCTCTCTCTCTCTCTCTCTCTCTCTCTCTCTCTCTCTCTCTCTCTGTGTGTGTTCTTTCGTTATACTTGATATCAGTATTATTATTCGATATTTCAGGTATTCCAGATTCCTCCCACATCCTCGATGTATAAACACCGGTGTTCTGTCGATATATGCTGCCTTGTCGAAAAATGCTACCGTAGTGCTAATCGATAGCCCAAACCCTAACACTTGCCCTAACCCTAACCCCCCAAAACCCCATAAAACACTAACCCTAATCCCAAAACGGTGGAACTGCACACGCGCAGAAAGGCTCGATAGCACGTCTCGATAGGTAGGATTTTATGACAGAACACCGGCATTTTTTGCCGCATTGCCAGAATTTGCTACCGTGACAGAAATTTTCAGTTATATCTCTCAGGTTTTAATTGCTACTTAGCCAAACCACATAATTTTTAACGGACATTTGTATAAGCATTTAAAAAAAATAAATAGATATCACAACAACTGTCATATAGTTTAAATGGGGGTAGCAGTTGTTTACATGTTTTATGCTGGCAGAAACTACTAATCATTTTCAGTGTGATGGGATGGTTTTTACAACGATGGAGCTTTTTGCTGCCAGAAACTGCAACCTATAGTTTTCAGTGTGGTAACAGTTTTTTTTATATATAAAGAAATTTAATGCCAGGGTATGAATGTAATAAAATGGTAAAAGGTCTTCATCAGTGGTTAAGTAGCAATTAATGCATATAATAAACACATATATCAACAAAATATGAATAACGGTTAAGATAAACCACGTTAATCCCCGCATCTGCTAAGCATGCGAGGGTAACAAAATTTTTCAGACTTTGGAGATGTAATGTTGATTTACGCATGCGCTATAGCGTGTGAAAGCAGTTTTTCGGACAGGAAAAAGGGCAGAATTTTTTGTTGTAAGTTTGTAGCAAGCTATGACCATAAAACGTCCATGGACAGTCTCAGCTCACAAACTTCCCCTTCAAGCTGTGTTACTAAAAGTAGTGAGGGATGCTGCTTTCCCACCGGAGGTAAAGTTTTAAAAGCTGAAGTTTAAATTTGAAGGACAAAAGCCACATGGATGCCAACTTGGGTTCTTCCGATGTCAGGGGGTATTCCACAAAACAGAACTTCCCAATTAGCTGGATAACTTAAGCCAAACATGCAAGCTGTCCAATAGTAAGAGAGATAAGTGATATTCTTACAAGTTATCTGGCTAATGAAGAAATCCTGCTATGTGGAATACCCCCCCAGGTGTCTTGTTTGTTTTCCACTGGGAAACACAAATAATCATATAAATATCACAAAATTAGTTTAATTTAAACATATCTTCCCAAAGCATTCTTCTTTTACCTAAAGGTTCTTCTATGTAGTTTTGTGTTTACTGTGTTTTACACATCCTTATTAAGTCATAGAAGTAATTTTATGTATTAAGCACTTTTTTTTCCTAAGGCAGCATACTTTTTTGAGGAAGCAAACAGTGGAGCAATTGGTGGTTAAGAGGCTTGCTCAAAGGGTCCACCTCTACTGACCCTGGGATCTGAACTGGTGACCTTCTGTTCACAGGCATAGTACCCAAGCCTGCTCAGCTATACAGTACTTCTGCACTCATTGATGAGAATCTTTACACTGCTAATGGTAGGGGGGTGTATTCAAACCTTTATTTCAATATTATCTGTCTATTTGTATGTCCATCCATCCATTCAACATAGATGTGAGGTGCCCTGTCCCCATACAGCTGCCACCCCCCCCCCCCCCCTTGAATCAGCCATAACATTAGCAGCAGATTCTTTAAGTCCTGTAAGTCATGAGGTAGGACCTCCTTGGATCAGACTTATTTGTCCAGCACATCCCAAAGATGCTCAATTGGCTTGAGATCTGGGGAATTTCGAGGACAAGTCAATATCTTGAACTCATTTTCATGTTTCTCAAACCATCCCGGATCAAGTTTTGCAGTGTGGCAGGGCGCATTACCCTGCTGAAAGAGGCCACTGCCATCGGGGCATACCGTTAGCATGAAGGGGTCCATTTGTTCTTTAACAATGTGTAGGTAGGTGGTGTGTGTTGAAGTAACGTCCACATGAATATCAGGACCCAAGGTTTCCCAGCAGAACACTGCCCAGAGCATCTCACTACCTCCGCCGGCTTGCCTTCTTCCCATAGTGCATTGTGGTGCCATCTCTTCTCCAGGTAAACTATGCACACACACACAGTCCACATGATGTCACAGAAAACATGACACATCGGACCAGGCCACCTTCTTCCATTGCTCCATGGCCCAGTTCTGATGCTCACATTCCCATTGTAGACACTTTTGTCAGTGGACAGCGGTCAGCATGGGCCCTCTGATTGGTCTGCGGCTGCACAGCCCCCTACACAGCAGGCTGCAATGCACTGTGTGATCTGACACCTTTACATCATTATCAGCATTAACTTTATTAAGCAATTTGTGCTACAGCAGCTCTCCGGGGAGACTGGAGCAGACAGCTTAGCCTTCGCTGCCCACGTGCATCAGTGAGCCTTGGGTGCCCCTGATCATGTTGCTGGTTCAACAGTTGACCTTCCTTGGACCACTTTTGGTAGGTACTGCCCACTGCATACCAGGAACCCCCCACATGACCTGCTGTTTTGGAGATGCTCTGTCGTCTAGCCATCACAATTTAGCCCTTGTCAGAGTCGCTCATTTCCTTATACTTGCCAATTTTTCCTGCTTCTAACACATTGACTGACTGTTCACTTCCCTAATATATAATGGTACCCTTGACAGGTGCCATCATAACGAGATAATCAATGGTACTCACTTCTCCTGTCAGTGGTTTTAATGTTATGGCTGATTGGTCTCTTTCATAATGAATTATGCAGCCCCTCTAGCAGTGCTGAATGTGAAGTAAGAAGGGATATCCCCGCTCCCTTGATGAAGCAACAGAAAACTTCTTGTGCAATTTTCCTCCCAGAAAGCGCAATATGCATTCATGTGACCCTGCTTTGGAAACGATTGCTTCTGTGAACTTCCTGACTAATAATAAACCAGCATTACTCGCGCTGACGTTAATGATCTTTAATCAGCATTTATTTGATGAAATACTTCATCCAGCAATCATGTGACATCAGGCCATGAAAGAAATATAAAAATATATTTTAATGTAGCTAATGAAGTTTGCTGAAAGCGACATGTACGAATAACTAATACAATGCATGACGACACTGAGATACTTTTTATCAAAGAAATTCAAAAATACATATAATGCATATTCTATGACATGGTCCAACAACACTGCCCTTAAGGGAGCAGACTCACTTCTATAGCTCAGTCTTTACAGTTAGACTGCAAAGGGGGAAAACCAAGAGAATATATTACTATACTATATTACTCGTTATATAACGAAAGAGAAACAAAATGAAAATATATACTGTACATACTGGAATGGTTAATGGTACATGGTAATAGTTTTTCAGCTTATTAAACTACACATAAATTAGATCCAAAAACGTTTTTTCTGCTTGAGAAATAGGAACAGACAAAAACATTACAAAAATAAACATTTAGTTCTCCCTTTGTGCCATTTCTCAAATATATATCGTATTGTCCTGACGTTCCCGAATGTCATAATGCCTCGGAGGGACTAAAGTGCCATGCGGCTTGACTGGTTTACAGTAGGCAGCACGATTCCACAGTAATAGTAATATCTAGCCACTATTTCACAGAAGTGTTGACCTGTCAGTGGCACCGACAAGGCGCACTGTCACCTGACCTAGTGGAAGAAGCCCTGAGATAACCTTCCAGCTAAGATCATCTGCTGAGACAAAGACCTGGTGAAGGTTAGCTCCTCTTTCGTGAGGGTGCCGCGCCGATTCTCATCTCCTGCTCTGCTCCATCATTGGCTGTCCCGTGGAAGTGGTGCTGAATCGATAGGAGAGCGAGTCCTTCTTTCGGATACGCTCCAGCACCCAAAACCGCACCAAGAGGAAGAACCCTGCAAAACAGGAGAGGACTGATCACACAACAGCCTGTACAGTCATACCGCGACCTCGATCAAGATTAATGTCTATAAAGTACTTGACAGAAGACAGGAGAATGAAAATTTGAGTTTGAGGCTTAGGATCTTTCATTTTGCATGCTGTGCTGATCCACATGTCTTATGAAATGGCATCTCTACTTTTACTTTGAAACTTTAAAATATAATAGTTTAATTTAAATTTGTAGTGTATGCTATGGGTGTTTACTTCTCTGCTACTCAGTTTCAGAAGCAGGACTGTATCCAATGAGCACCAAACCATTTTATTGGGATGACCTGGGAATTCAGTGGCAGTCTTTATCACCACGCCAAACCGTGCATTTGGGGGGAGGGCAAAGTCACTTTTTTACTGGGGCCCCAGAAACGATAAACCTGCCCATGTGGGGTTTTCTGCTCTAAAGGGTAACAGCTAAATCTCCCCCCTTCTGGGGCAACTCCATAATGGTATTGCATCTAAACTGATTTCTAA